TGGTAGGCACACAAGACTCCACACACATGACCACCAAAGCCTTCTGCCGCCCACGCTTTTTGAATTTTTCAAATTGGTGCAGTACTTTTCGAATGATGATAAGTTTGACAGGTCCAATTTCACTTCTGAAGGACAGATTTAAAGGCTTCTCTCATTAACAGGAGTTAGCTTCAGGTCTCCAACAGCCGGGGGGGGGAAGGCGGGAAAACAGTGCTGCTCTCTGATTGGTTGAGAGTGTTAGACCATTTTCTGTCCAAGCAGGATCCAGCACCCACACTTATGCAGAGCTGCCAACTCTCACGCACTGAGCGTGAGACACACGCATTTGACCCTCTTCACACGCTCTCACGCCACACCTCCAATATCTCACGCTAAACCAGTACCTGCACTCCCCAAATGTGCATCACGCACAATGTGTAGGGCTTATGAAAAAACCAGATGATATTAATGATGGCATTAGCTACTGAACAACATGCACACAAACAACACAGGCAGGAAGGAGTTCAGGAGAGTTGGAAGTTAAATTTTCCTCACGAAAAGAACATTTTTATTAAACAAAGGTCAGTTCCCTCTGTAAAGTCAGAGGTACAGAAGAGGATTAGGCCACTGAAAAGAAAAAGAAAGAATTCCCCCGTCAGAATTCTGAGGTTAAAAGTCAGAATTCTGATTAAAAAAAAGTAAGAATTCTCTTTCTTTTCTTTTTTTTTTTCCTTGTCAGTGGCTCTAATCCTTTTCTGTACAGAGTAGAAATAAATAGTCAATATTGATTTCCCCCCCCCGGTCGGCTAATTGTCCACTCCCAACCAAATTTAGCATAAGCTGCTCATTTCACAGTTCAGCTAAATGTAAAGACTACGCTGTTAAACTTGTCCAACTGTAATAACAGATGTTTAGACATTTTAGCTGTCCAGATTTTTATACAATGTTTACAGATTTCAGTTTTTTGCTATTTAGGATTATTTTTCTCCATTCTTCACTTACTTTTTGTGCTTTATTTGTTAGTGGTTTTTGTTTCTACATCTTTCAACACATTCAGCTCATTTTGACAGTGTTGCTTACTTTCAGCTTCAGTTCAGCTATTAAGCTGATTCAGCTAACAGTTTAAGCTTTCCAGCATTCAAACAGCATTTCTGCAAGGAATGCAATTTATCTAGTTAAACCTTATTAAACTGTTCTAGTCTGCCTGCCTGCCTTCTTCACCCGCACCTCATGACACGTTCCTGTTACTTGCTTAGGATCTTTACACAACGGTGCCATGTTTTGCCGGTGCCGGCACCGGCAATGTTGGTAACACCACAGGCTCACATGTTGTAAACAATAACTACGTCCCACTTTGGCCTTTGTGAAAGGAGAAAAACTGACAACACCAGCTGGCTAAGAAGGAAATCTGTTTCAATGTAACCTTCCTTCCAACATGTTGAGACATTAAACTGTTTAATGAATTTTTTTACAGTAAAATTATTACATATTGGTCCTCTTAAATAAAGCAGAGTAAAAATTAGGGTTGTGCATGGGCACGCTGATTCACAACACAGTCATCCACCCATTCATACACTGGTGATGACAATGTAGTCATTGCTGCCCTGGGGCACACTGACAGTAGCGAGACTGCCGAACACAGACGCCACCGGTCCTGCTGCCCTGCAATATATAAATATTTTCTTACACCCCTAGTGAAAATGAAATTTGGACATTTCTGGCTCAGCAAATATGATTTCAGTGGCAGAAATAAGTGATAAGAAAGTTTTGTTCCTAGTTTAGCACTCAAACCTGTTTGTTGGAACAGATAAATCTATGGAACTAAAAACTGAAATGATGTCAGTGAAAAGTTTAGGTTGAGGAGGAGCATAGCTAAATGTAGGCTCATTGTTTAGCAAGGACAACGTCACTCTTGGCCTTTCTGAGGCACAAAAGTTGATGGCTAAATTAACAAATAGTTCATCAATAGATTATTCATATTGTGAAGTAGCGCCTCTGGCTCTTTTTGGATGTGATCTTCATTTAGTTAATTTAACTCAGAGTTTTATATTTATTTTCAAACTAAATAGTGCAGGCATGAAGTAAGTCAATAAATATTATCCACAATCTGATTTCATGCTGTGTAAGTACAGCTTTTATAAACTTGCTGAGAATGTAAAAAGGTGTACAGCCTCTACACTGGTACTTTTTTATTTTTTAGAGTTTGTTATTATTTTAAACAAAATGACAATACTCCTGTCTTCTAGATGGATTTTCAATGAACGGTTACACACATCACCAACCACAGTGACAGCTGCATCAAATGTCCTGAGCTTCACAATAATGGGCCTGTTTTGTCTCACTTGTTGGACATTCGAACGTAAGGGACGCGAACAAGTCTGTCACATAGCCGTAACTTTATACAGGCTCGGCAGTTCTGTAGGAAAGTGAAGCATTTTACAGTGAAGATGCCATCAGAACAAAAAAAGCAGTAGTACTGGGTTACATTCATGCAATGAATCCCTTGTGGGTTGTTACACAATCTGAATCCAGAACAGGAATAAATGACTCTGCCACTACCAATAAAGATTATTATACTGTAGTTTATCATAGAGGGATAAATAAAGCCCATACGTTGTAGAAATAAGGGTGGTTGTAATGAACACCTCAAGACTTGTCCTTAGATGTCAGAGGGAAGTTTGTTAGTAACTGAGTCTAGATCTTTGTTCGTATGAGTTTGTCTGAGTGCTTAAAACAACTTGAAAACACAAAAAATGGGGAAAGGTTTTGTTTATTTGATGAAAAATCTAAACTGATTTCAGGAAAGTACCTGCTGACAAACATTTGCCTTTGTGTCTCTTTTACATTTTCTACCCATTTTTATAAAAGGAGCTGAATTTTATTTGCCTAGAAATCTAGGCCAACCGTAGAAGATTTTGCTCTGCAGGTCAGTCTAGCCACTCTCCATTGTAGCCTCAGCAGGGTTACCATTGGATTGGCTTCGTTTAGGCTGGACCAATCACAGGGCTCTGTTTGTTGAGAGACGTTGGGTTGGCTTAGCACCAGAGTAGCAGTGGGAGAAAAATGGCGTCAGCTCAGGAACGGTGCTCGTTTAAAACAACTTTGGCATCGGCCTTGTATGTTTTAGACCTGGGCTTCTCTTTAACAGATAGAGGAACTTAAGTCACTTATTTAGAAAAAAGTATTTGCCTTTTCAACAATGTATGTCAAACTGCTCCATTGACCATGGGGCTGTCAACTTTTGCACTACGTCATGCGCGTGGCCAGACTATATACCCACGTAACTTGCCAGGCTAGAGTTTAGTTACTTTTTCACTTGAATATTAGCAACTAATAATACAATTCTAAATGTTAAGGATATACTTCTTATTTAAAATGCTCATGAAAAATCAAAATGATGTTTATTTGAGGGGTATATAAAACCATATAGATGAACAGGCTACAGAAACTCTTTGGAGCCCTAACAGCAGCAAGCAGATGAATATTTAGTGAATTCCCCCGTGTGGGCGTTGACGAAACAAACAGACCGTGGATGAATAATCACATGTGCATTTGACTGTCATCATGTCTTTTCTCGTGTGTGTGTGTGTGTGTGTGTGTGTGTGTGTGTGTGTGTGCGTGCGTGCGTGCGTGCGTGCGTGCGTGCGTGCGTGCGCGCTCAGCGGGGACTAACTGTACATATGTTTCTGAGCGTTCACCGTTCATGCTCATTGATGTATACAGGCGTGTTTCATGCTGACGTATTTCCAGCAGCTTGTCATCTCTGTTCCCAGACCGATTGCTAAACAGCTAGAGAGCAGAGCTGTGGAGGTGGGATCTCGTCTGTATTCCGTGCCCATCCTTTATTGATGGCAGGGTAATCACAGGGCCAGAGTACAAATCCACTTACTCTCTGCTTTGCCTTAAGTAATGGATTTATGAGTGCATTAAAGAGCCGTAGTCATCCAGAGGCCCCTGCCAGACTGTCTCTGTCTTCATTCTCCCCCCTGATCGACTGTCTTTGTCTCTCGGTCGGACTCATCTACTTCTGCTCCCCGCTCATGTCATGCGAGATCTCGCTGTCTTCTGATTCTCAATTGTCTGCTCACTGTTCCCTCATTTTCACTCCCTCCAGTCTTAGGCTGGCTTTAAGCGCATTTGTGCGACCCATCATTCCATTACCCTTCTTTTTCTTGACTTCTATATCCTTTCATCTTTTATCCTTTGGGGAGCCCTGATTAGAAAAAGAAAAGTCTTTCTCGTTTCTCCTCAAAGACCCAGAAGCCGAGCTGCGGGAGAGCTGACTCTTGAAGAAGTTTGTGCTCCGGGGGCTCGGGGCGATGTCAGCAGCAACTTAACAGCCTGAACTAAACCGACATTAAAGCGACTGAGTCAAGGAGGTATTAGGGGAGCAGAGGTGGCATGAAAACTAAAGTTTCTAACTTTGAGCTTTGCTCAGAATAAATGTTGGAATGTAAATAAAGTTGTTACAGTACACCCCTTTCTTAGAGTTATTAGCCCCCCCCCTCGCTGCCACATGACTCCTTTCCCTCCCTTCCTAATTAATCTCAGTTTGATGTGACACATCTGTGGTGAACATCCCATGAGAAGCTTGTCTGGGTGTCTGTGCACAGTCTCCTTTTTATTTGTCACACGCACACACACACACACAGCAGGTCATTTCACTCTGAAAATAAAAATATAAGACCTCTGATAGGAGAACTGGAATGGTTTTGACCAAAGATTATTTTTATTTGAGTGAATTGATCATTTGGGAGAGGGAAAGTCTTTGGTACATGCTTCACCAGACATCACTAAAGGAGAATGTGTCAAAAAGCATGAATGCAGATTAAAAGGTTTTCAGTCACTTTGCTTAAAATAGTCCCTTGCTGTCTAATAATCATCAAAAGCCTCTAAAATAAGTCATGTGATTCTTATTTATTTTATTTAATATTGTTTTAAAAAGTGCTTTAAAGGTTTTTTTTTTTTTTTTTACTAATTCTGTACCTTTCCCTATGTTCATCACCTCTCCTCCACCTCAGAGTCCTCAGAGGGAGTGTCCCTCCAGCTGGGCAACCCTAGAGACTTCATCCTCAGCTTGGACATCAAGTTCACCTCCAACGGCAGCGTGTCTGTGGTTCTCGAGACTACCGAGAAGGGCCCGCCCTTCACCATCCACTATGTAACCAGCACGCAGCTCATCGCCTTCAAAGACCGCGATGTCACCTACGGTGTTGGGCCTCGAAGCTCCTGGAGCACGTTGACCCGAGACCTGCTGACCGACCTCAGGAAGGGAGTGGGTCTGTCGAACACGAAAGCCGTAAAAGCAACAAAGGTTTGTGCGAGTCGGAGTCGAGGCGAGCCTTAAAATCATGTCTGTTCATCTAAACGAAACTGGAGTTGACATGAAATGTTTAGCATCAGAATCAGCCTAAAACAAATATATGTATCTTATAAGAAGTATTTTTTCCCACTTAATCAAAAAGGATTTATATGATTTAGGTCAATAATTGAAGGCATCTTCTTTGGGCTGGAAAAGAAAATTAATTTCTCACATCTGAGAGAAAATGCTGACTGGGAAATGAATGCAGTTAAATTACTTTTAGCCTAATAGGTAGCATTTATCAACTCACGGATGCTTCTTCCACATCTTGAAGCTTCATCTCACGATATATTTTTTAATGATTAACTAAAACAGCGTAGACACTTGAATCATATTAACAGTCCAAAATCATAATTTTCCCTCTTACCGTGTCCCAGATCATGCCCAGGCGGGTTGTGCGGGTGGTCCTTCACGGACGTGGCTTTGTCGATAATGTCACCATCTCTACCACCTCCCACATGGCGGCCTTCTTCGCAGCCAGCGACTGGCTGCTGAGGAATCAGGATGAACGGGGCGGGTGGCCCATCATGGTCACTCGTAAACTGGGAGAGGGCTTCCGGCCTCTGGAACCTGGTTGGTACTCAGCGATGGCTCAGGGCCAGGCCATGTCCACCCTGGTGAGAGCGTACCTCCTCACCAAGAACCAGGCTTACCTCAACGCTGCCATCAAGGCAGTGGGACCATACAAGGTGCCTTCAGCGCAGCACGGCGTCAAGGCAGTGTTTATGAACAAGTACGACTGGTACGAAGAGTACCCCACCACGCCCAGCTCGTTTGTCCTCAACGGTTTCATCTACTCCCTGCTGGGACTCTTCGACGTGGCTGAGACAGCCGGGGAGAAGCTGGGCAGAGAGGCAGGGCAGCTGTTCAGCCGCGGCATGGAGTCGCTGAAGGCCATGCTGCCTCTCTTTGACACTGGGTCAGGGAGCATCTATGACCTGCGTCACTTCATGTTGGGCACTGCGCCTAACCTGGCTCGCTGGGACTATCACACTACGCACATCAACCAGCTGCAGCTGCTGGCATCTATAGACAACGCCCCCATCTTCAAGGATGTGATCAGGCGCTGGAAAAACTACTTAAGAGGGATTCGTGCCAAGCACAACTAGACAGTAACATCACAGACTTGCGTTCAGAGGAAGAGCGGTGGATTGGGTGTCTGAAAGCTAATGAGATGAATGATTGTGTGAATAACTGAGTCTGACTTCTGGGAGAGAAGTTACAGCTCTAAATACTGAGACCTAGTGACTGTTGCAGCTTATAGTTTCAGCACCATCTACAGTAGCTCGTGTCCCCGGAGCTAGTGTTTGTAATTGTGCACAGACCTAGTTTCAGAGTGAATGAGTGGATGAATGAGTGTTCTGTTAAAATAAACAAAACTAAAAAAAATGTAAGTTCGGACACCGTGACATCATTTAAGTCATCTTTTCAGTTTCCTTTTCATTTCATATCAAATTTGCAAAGTTTAGCAAAACAAGCTGTGAATAACAGAGTATGACTGTTTAAAGGAGGATGTTGCCAAAAAATGTAAAGATATACGGTGATTAAACACTTTGAGTTGTATTTCTCCAGAAGCAGAGGAGTCCGATGCTCTGTGTTTTGCACATCAAATTCTTTTGGAACCACTTTTCGCAACAATGAAAAAAATCATTAGTTTATCTTCTTTTTCAAAATTTTTAAATCAGAATATTAAAAACTGGATTTGATGTCTGATGAGCTGTTAGGATTCAGTCCTGAATAAAAACAATCAGACGTTCCTGTTTACGTCTTTAATCCCTAATTAATGATTGGTGATGATTATCTGTGGGCTCAGAAGCTTCTGCTATAATGCTGCTCTAAGCTGTTTAGGTTTTTTTGCTCATGGGTTTTGAAGGATACAGAAAATAATGACAGAATGCATCCGTTTTATTTCAGCGCAGTAAAGAAAGTGTCCCATTAGAAGTTCAGCTGGATCAGTGGACCATCCGTTAGAGGCTCATCGCAAATCAGAGAAAGTTTGCTAAAAGTAAAATTCACATGTTCTCTTTTTGTAAAAGACTCAGGAAAAAAATGTACCTTTGTGTTTATAGGTGTGTTGGCGGCGTTTACACCTCAAACACAAGACTGCAGGTGTGAGGGAGTCACTTATTACCATAACTCATTTTAGCTTTATTTGTATTTTTTATTAATCACTTATCATATTAAAATCTAGAAATAAATCCCATGAATCACTATTTTAAATCACCATTTTTCCAACATCTGTTTTTTTGTTCTTGGAAACTCCCTCTCTTCTGTAGCTAGAATGATTGTTACCAGACACAAGTGTAGGTGGTGTGATGAGGTGGATGGACTTGGGCAGCTTAAGCACAGCTGCGTCTCGTCTTGCTAGTGATCAGGTGAGGCCAAGACAGCAGCTGGATGTGGATTCTTCAGCTAGGAGGCTCCAGGTTCCCACTGGCCCTTCCCTGCCACGGCAGTGTGAACTCGACCATTTGAATCTGACCGCCGAGTGTTTAGAGCGACGCTCATGCCTCACCCGACTAATAGGGTGAAGAGGCTTCACTAGTCATGGATGAGTCAGCACTTTTTATAAACAGATGAGCCCTCAGCATCAATGAGTCTCCCATGCATCTGGTTTATGGATTAATGGGAGGTAGAAGATCCAGAATGACTCATTTTTCTGAGGGTGTTGATGGGGATTTTCATATCTGATGTAATTTTAGAGACCAAATTATATTCCCACGCTGTCGGCTTTAGGATGTGAGCAAAACTGATTTGATCAGAGAAGAGCATAATTTATTTTGATGTATTGATCAAAGCTGAATCATAATAAGACATCCGACTGATTGAGATTCCTTCGTCTGACTAAATCTGAAACTGAAGAGCTTCTGTTGGGTTGCATCATCAGAAGTCTGGATATTAGGGTAAAGTAGATGTAAATGAATTGTAACAAAGTACTTTGTTCACACGCAGTTCAGATTGTTTAAAAACTAACAGCAATCCTTCAATTAGGCTTTCTGTAGTTTTCACACATGAATTTATCCCAGGATTATAGGAGCTGATCCACATTTTGTTTTTCCAGACAATAATTTGCTTAATCTGTCATTTTTCTTTTTGAATAACTGAGCATTCAGGAACAGAAGTGTTGTGTGTGAATAACAAGTTTCATGTTGTTTATACCAAAGTCATATATTCAATTACAAACATGTATATTTTTGTGCAAACAGACTTCCATTTAGTATTTGGTGATGTTGAATCTCCTCGGAGATGTCACAGAGATACTGCCTTTTGAGACATGCTAGTTTTCCAAGTGTAGAGTGTGTAGATTATTGCAAAAAAAAAAAATAGAAATTTAAATTGGTAAAAGTTGTTGATTTTGAAGGGGGGTCGTGCAAGTAGAGGTCAGCGTTTGGTCGGCTTCCGTTTTAAAGAAAACCGAGCCAGCAGCTGCAGGTTCTCCTCAGAAGTGTTGCCCTTTGTTGTTGAAGAGTGTTGGATTCATTTACAGCAGATTTAGTTTCACTTGGTTAATAAAAGCACAACAGCAGTTTATTGTTGCATCGTTTTCTTGTATTTACTCCTTTTTTCTTTTGTCCAACAGCTTCATTAAGCTGCTATTGTTGTTCACTGTGCATTGGGGTCTACACTTACAGTATATATTTTAATATTTGATTAAAGAAAACAAGAACTCTTCAACAAATGGCCCCAGAGGTCAGAGTGATTTATGCAATAAGATGTTTTCTGGGATTCTTGGCTGCACCGTGGACCCAGGTTGGTTATACAGACTTTGCAGTCGAAGCACAATGTGCATACCTTACCATTTTCTAGTCTGAGTAAGAGAAGTGTTTATATAGAGTCAATCTTTGTGCTTTAAATTTGCTTTTTAAGATGTAAAAAAGTAAATAAAAGCATTTTTCTTAAAGAGTTTTTCTTAAACCTTTTGACTGTTTTTGAACTGTTTTACAAGAATGTGCAGCTAATTAAAAATCACCTGTTGTTTTAAATCAATGTACATTTTATTTGAGGTGCTCAGAAGGTAAATTATTGGCTATAGTCTGCTTTTAAATTTAAAAAATATATTTTTATTTGCTTTTAATAAAATAAATACGTTTTTGCTTTCAAATGTTTTATTTACAAATGAAACTGGTGATTAATTTAAAATATTTTCCTAAATTTTTGTCAAAGAATTTATGGTGTTAAAATGTTATAGCAAAATTATGTTTACAATAAAGTGCATGAAATGAATGATAGTGACTGCTGTAAAAGAGAGGATTTTTATAGCACCTCTCAAGAGAAAAAATAAGACTAAAACAGATCAGGATAAATAATAGAAAAAAAATTAGGATTAAAAATAATAATGAAAAAGTGAACACAGGAGCCCAAAAAGTACAAAATTGACAGAAAAGGCAGCATGAAAAGAAGCTAGGATGGAAGAAGAGGATGAACACAAAAGCCAGGAGCTTTTGAATTAACCAATATAATAATAACAACTAAGCTATTGGTTTATTGACCCAATTTAATCATTGTTGTTCTTTCTTTGGCTCCAGAATTCACCCAGACCTATTTGAGTTGATTGCAGTTATTTGTCACTTCAGCTGCATCTGTAGTATTTTACAAATCAGTAGAGATTTAATCTGTCAGAGCAACAGCTGACAAACTTAGATCTCACGAAGACTCAAAGTCCTATCTGTCATCTTCGTTCTCTGAGAACTCTCTTCAACACACTTCTGCTTCACTACAACATGTACCAAGTAAAATGATTTGAAGCTAATTCATTAAGATTAATGCCTGTTTACAGGCTGTTTCTTTTTAATTTTTACAGAATTGATGACAAGTATAGCCAGTCTGCTTTTATAGTAAAACAGGATGCAGCTGTTAAAAGTTATTTTGGTGAATTCAAGTAACATGTTTCTCATGAGAAACCAACTGACTTTTTCTTTCCTGACATGCAGACTTGTGAAATGAACACAAAGTGATCAATTTTACTTTCTAGTCTAAGAAAAACAAATTAATAGAGGCGTTTGACTTTATTAGCAAATAAAATACACCATTAGCCTAAGTGATGACATTCAGCTGAAGACTAAAGACTGTTATTTGGGTTTTACTTTAAAACTGCTTTAAAAGGAGCAATATGTAAGAATTCTATAGTGACAAAAGAGTCTAATGTCTCAATGATGTTGGAAGGAAGGTTACATTTAAACAGATTTTATTCTCTTCTGGCTGGGGGTTGTCAGTTTTTCTCCTTTCAAATCACAAAAGTTACTGTTTGTTTGCGAGGTTGTCATGTTTCCAGTGCCCTAACGCAGCAGCGCACCTGCACATTGCTCTAAAGTTGTTTAAAGAACCAAATCCAGCAAACAGGAGCAACCCAGAAGTTGTTCTTGTCCCCCTAAGAAGCCACAGCATCTTTTGTTTTACTCCAATATCTTGGGTAAAGAAGGCTAGAGGCTAACATTGAGCTAACAATGCTAACTGTGAATTAGAATCTATAGTTGGCTCTAAAAATATCTCAAGCTACTTTTTCAATTACCAACAACTCAATATTACAGTGAAATGTATGTGTGAAGTGAATAATGAGTCAATCGTGTCATTTCACTTTCTTTTAAGAGTCATTCAGAACTATAACAACACGACAGCAGACAACAGCACTCCTCTAATGTCAGAGACATATTACCGTAGTAAGTGTAGTAAGTGTTCCCTACTGTAAAACATCTAAGAGTGGTAATACCAGGTCTAACAATGTATTTATATACTTATCAACTTACTGCATGTGACTTGATTTTGCTTGTTATCTAGAATCCTACTGATCTGTAACAACAGCCATGAAACTCACAGAATAGGAGTGAGAAAGGGATAAAAACAATGACTGCAGTAACCACATTTGACCACATAATGTCATACTTACATCAGACTTACATATTGCACCTTTAAATTGTAACAGACTTTACCCTCAGTTCTCTACAAGGATCACTGATCGGGCAGCAGGGAAACAGTTTCTTAGGTGTGAACATCGTCTTTGTGAAACTGCTGAGAAGAAAAACAATACTGATGAATAATTTATCCTAATTAAGCCATTCTGATTCAGTGAAGGGCACGGACACCTGAGAAGGACTATATCTGCCACGTGCTTCTATTTTTCATTACCTACTGCCATTATTTATCTCTCTCTCTCTCTCTCACACACACACACACACACACACACACACACACACACACACACACACACACATCCTCCTCACCCCTTAATGATGTTACTGTCCCTCCTGACAGTGTGTCTGTCTCCAGCTCTTGTAATTAGCTCTGTGTACACTCGATAAGCTCGGTCTCCTCTACTGCCACTCGGATGCCTTTGAGATGATTTTACATGAAACTTTTGGTCCCATGTCCGAGGGCTTTGTGCTGTCCATTAAATTACAAATGTGATTAAATGAGAACACTGTTGGGGGATCTGTTTGTGTGGTGTCAGGGATCATAGACGTGAGGAGAAAAGAAACTGGAAACAGAAGTCAGTTCTTGTAAGAAGCTTCTTTTCTACTTTTTAGAAACCTCAAAGTGAAATTATGTTAAAAGTTAGTTGTTTGTATAGTAAGACATATAAATCTAATATGTTATCGTCGTCGTCTTCCTCCGCTTATCCGGGTCCGGGTCGTGGGGGCAGCATCCCAACTAGGGAGCTCCAGACCGTCCTCACCCCGGCCTTCTCCACCAGCTCCTCCGGCAGGACCCCAAGTTGTTCCCAGACCAGATTGGAGATGTAACCTCTCCAACGTGTCCTGGGTCGACCCGGGGACCTCCTGCCAGCAGGACATGCCCGAAACACCTCCCCATGGAGGCGTCCAGGAAGCATCCTGACCAGATGCCCAAACCACCTCAACTGACTCCTTTCGATCAGGAGGAGCAGCGGTTCTACTCCGAGTCCCTCCCGAATGTCCGAGCTCCACACCCTATCTCTAAGGCTGAGCCCGGCCACCCTACGGAGGAAACTCATTTCGGCCACTTGTATCCGCGATCTCGTTCTTTCGGTTACCATTACCATTACCCAAAGTAGAGCCCTGCACGGGCCTAAAATCGGAGCCCGTGTCCGGCCCGGCCCGAGGGGGTGGAGCCCCAGCCCGACCCGGTCCGAAAAGGTTCTCAGGATTATCTGGCCTCGCCCGAGCCTGACTTTTTTTTAACCAACTAAATGAAAACAAAGTGTGCCAATCCTGACCAATGTGTTAAAAGACGTGCAGGATCCGATCAATTTGTTTTTCCCTCATTTACCGTCACGGAGATGACGGCGCAGGCTCTGGTGGTAATCAAGTTAAATTTGATCTCTTTCCAACAATTTTCACAAGAAAACAGTCAAAAGCAGGGCTTGTGTTGTGTTGACCGGATAGTTCCCGTATTTGACCGTTTATTTTGACGGAGAAAGAATAGAAAGAATTACCCTGACGCATGCAGACGAACTGACATTTTATTCCTTAAGCAGATCGCAGATGTAGCTAAATCACCCAAGAAAAGATTCCCATCTGAACATCTGAGCTGGACACTGCTCAGCGCAGCTCGCTGTCAGCGCGCACTTAAGGTGCACAGCGAGCTGAAGATGTGGAGAGGGGCATGGAGCGTGTTGCAGAACCAGAGCGCATGCGGGAAGGTTCCTTCCACTGAAGCGAGTGTTTTCCAAACCCTGTCTCTCAGAGAGACTTGTCACTTAGAAAATGTTCCCTGATGATTAAACTTTGGCTGAATAGTGCTTGTTCCTGTCCCCAATGTGGCGACGCATCCAGGAGCCGTCTGCGGAGAATCCCAGAATCTCACATCCTCTTCAGCTCAGAAAGCGCATATGATTACGCACAAGCGTGACCCGTCAACCCTGTCTCACAGTAAGACTGGGTTGGGCCTGTTCAGGTTTACGCAGACAATCTTTACATAGAATTGACTTACAGATATAAAATTAATTCAGTAAAATATAAAGCATTTTATTTAAATATCATTATTTTACAAGCACAGAGAGCCGCATCAGATGGATGGAAGAGCCACGGGTTGCCAACCCCGGTATAGCCTATAAAATGACATGTTGACGCAAACTCAATACATCTCTTTTATTGTGAGGTAATAATTTCTCCGAGTTTTGCGGTTGCGGGCGGGAGTAGACATGCACGCTGCGGGTGCGGGCGGGAGTGTAACACACATGTTCTGGTTGCGGGCGGTAATTGTCAGAAATTCAGCAGAGCGGGATGAAGAAAACAGTCCCGCGCAGGGTTCTACTGCTGCGTTTAAGTGTTTGAATTTTTTTTATGAATTTGATTAAAAATAAAGGCGCCCGGCCCGTGTCCGAGGTAATTACACAGTCGTTGGCCCGAAGCCCGGCCGTCGGGCCGGGCCGACCCAAGGGTCTAAGGCTTCAGTGCAGGGCTCTAACCCAAAGCTCATGACCATAGGTGAGGATTGGGACGTAGATCGACAGGCAAATCGAGAGCCTGGCTTTCTGGCTCAGCTTCCTCTTCACCACGACAGATCGGCTCAGCGTCTGCATCACTGCAGACTCTGAACCAATCCGCCTGTCGATCTCCCGATCCCTCCTATCCTCACTTGTGAACAAGACCCCGAGATACTTAAACTCCTCCACTTGAGTTAGGACCTGGAGCTGGCAAGCCATCCTTTTCCGGTCGAGAACCATGGTCTCAGATTTGGAGGTGCTGATCCTCATCCCAGCCGTTTCACACTCAGCCGCGAACCTACCCAGCTTGAACTGAAGGTCAGAGCTGGATGAAGCTAGGAGGACCACATCATCCGCAAAAAGCAGAGACGAGATTCTCCTGCCACCAAACTCGACACACTCCATACCACGGCTGCGCCTAGAAATTCTGTCCATAAAGGTAATGAACAGAACCGGTGACAAAGGGCAGCCCTGGCGGAGTCCAACCCTCACCAGGAACAGG